TCCCGTACAGGCCTGATTTTTTTCAGGTCTGATTTTCGCTATTGCTTAAATAGCGCTATCTACTGCGAGGATCGTGCATCATACGTATCTAATACCGCAGTTCAAAATATATGAACTTCATATATTTCATTGTATCTAATCGAACTCGAGTTGACACATCCAAGATAGTGGACACTTAAGTAGCCCTAATGACATTATGATTTCTATTCTAATGTGGCCCAGATAGTTAATAGATATCGATTGCTCCGATGATTATAGAGATGCATGCGCTCTAATTGGCCGAGGATTGTGTCATATCTCGCAATAATTACCTCGCGCGAGGTGATTATATCAGGAGCACTAAATTTCAAAATGGCTGCCTCGTGTTTTGTCAGTGTTACGTAGGGAGTGATAAACGCGATAGATGAAAATACAATTCTGGAGAGCACATGCTATCAAGTTTGACGTAACACTTTTCAAAAGAAAGATATGAATTTTTTGTTGATTGACTTCAATAAACCTGCTAGATTCTAATGGAAACTAGCTGATTTTCTCGATAAGAGGAATGAAAACAACTCAGTGTAACAGAATGGTTTCAACAACAAAACGAATTTACAAAAGATTTAGAAAGCACCTGAGCAATTATACTAAAACAATTACTCGCCTCGTGCTTAGTGAATATTGTTTATTAGTCCTCTGGAATTCGTCAGGGGGATTATTTAAAGATACTCCTCTCAGCTTCGGTGAATAATTGTCAAACATCATTACCTTTATATCAACTAGTTTTAAATTTGTGGTTGTATTTTCAAAATTGATCGAAACCCTGTTGTACTAGCTATTCGAGACCAAAGCTCACAAAATTGTGTCTATCGATGTGTCATCAAACGCATAGGAAACTGTGTTTTTAAGGAAGCAACAACTGTTGTGAGAAGTTTTGTCACCTGTCATGCTCCATACATGCTTCATCTAATCCGTTTATTGTCGGGAGGCACCTACGACAGGCGCTGTTCACATAGCTTGTAGTGCGCCAGCAATCATCATTGCAAGATGGCTTTGGGTACCTAGTGTAACCACCCTGGTAGCCCCCACACCAGTTTCCGTACCACCAGTCCAAACTCCCTCCGCGCCATCCAATTCCCCGGCGGCGGCGTCTTGATATCATTGGTAGTTGATTGGCCAAACTTTCATTGCCAAACGAAGTCATTTGGTTCAACAGCTGAGTCAAGTTGGACGAGGTTTCCTGAATATTTTTCTCTAACTCAGGATCTGAAGATCTGGTTGATTCTTGATCTAAGTATAACAGACACGAATTTACTTCTGCTCACAGATAGGTTCACTCCCCATTTCAAAAACGAGTGGGGGAGTGGGTCGAGTTCGCCGCGCAGGTTTGTCTGGGATCGTTACTCGGGACACAAATCTTTGTTTACCTTTGATTTGTCCCAAGTAACGATCCCAGACAGACTTGCGCGGCGAACTCGACCCACTCCCCCACTCGTTTTTGAAATGAGGAGTTGGCTGTCAGTATCAAATTTAACGTAGTTTCTTTTCTTCTATTTTTTCCATCCTGTTACCCTTATTTAAGGTAAGTTAGATGTGCTTATATCTCTTAAATACGTAGTAAAAGTGGTTATCGCAGTGACAGTATAAACTGACGGCCGGTTAGTTTAATGTTTTATCATCCACGTTTGAAACACACACTATTGTGTGAGGGCGCTTAAAACAACTACAAAAACATATACGCAAATATTTAGTGCTGTATCTGCCTTACATGTGCCTTACATCTGCCTTACATGTGCCTTACATCTGCCTTACATCTGCCTTACATCTGCCTTACATCTGCCAGTAATTTACCCTTTTGACGTTGGTTGAATTGTCAGAGAATAAAAAAGGATCAAAAAGTTATCAGAAACTTGAAATTCTTAATGGAATTTTGATGAATTCATAAGTATGACCCGTTATGAATTCCCAAGTTTTTTCAATTAAAATTTCAAGTGTGAATAACTTACAAAGCTTCGAGTCGTTTGAGCGATGAAAGGCCTCCTCGATTGTGTCGTTTTCTTCAATATACCTGTAGCAGTTCAGATGTTTATAATCCGTGAAGTTCATTTCTTTTTCCTTAGAACGCATATGAATACTACCGTTTGGGAGATGTAAATAAACCTAGGAGAGATATTATTTATCAAAACCTGACGAAATTAAGCAATAAAGAAACAGTTTATTGAATGAAAAAAATCAATGAACTTAAAAAACACAATAATGTATATAAGAGTATATTTATATTCCCGGTGTAGAGCAGTCTATCGATGATATTGTTTGCTTCAAAAAGGGTTCAAGGTCTTACCTCGTAAATCTTTCCATTATACCCTTTCGCTCGATAAACGTCCACATCAGTGTCATTTTCGACTTGGTATAGGCTATGAGTGGTATTTCCCTCGACGCTTTCCTGTGAAAAGGAGATTAGAGGCCAACCTCGTTCCCAGGATCTCTCATCGTCCCGCCCTCTCTAGCTCCAGGGGCGGGAAAATGAGAGAGCTGGGAACGAGGTTGATAAGTTGCCCGGTGTTTGATCTCAGAGATTAGACGAGTTCTTAAATAAGCGAGGATTGATGGCAGAATAACCCAAAATCCCTTACTTTTTGATGCAGCCATGACGAAGAAAGTCATACATTGTGTGCCGCTAACCCGTTTATAGACTTTAGCTTGTCAGTCGAAGTTTTGGATCCGGTCCTTGACCCGAATTTAGACTAACAGGTAACATATGTTAGAATATTGAGAGTTTTTAAACTTAACAGTAGTCTTGAGTTATCTATAAATTTACCGATTTAAGAGTAGCGTGTTTCAGTAGATGCCTCGGAATCATGTCTCCCTCAAGATTAGTATAAATGCACTTTGTTGTTGAATTTCCATGCTCTGGAACAATAAAGTACTTTGTCTTCTGCAAGATAAAATATACAAACAGTGTTCGTTTACTTCATTTCTCAAGCTGACGCAAGTCCGGCCGTATGCAGTGGCAATTTAAGTGATTTTCGATCTGCATCAACTAATGTAAAGAGTCATTTTTTAGCTGAGTTTAGTTACCAGAAATAGTTACAAGTTAGAAAAATGCAATGAATGGGATGATACGATGGAGCGAAAGCGAACTAGACACTCTTTCATTTGAACAATGCATGGTTTTGAGAAACCCCAAATTTATCTTGCGAACTCGAAGTTTTCATGGCCGAGCTGCGTTGACTTGTTTGGGGCGGTTGAGAACATACATGCTATCTCATCATGAAAATTTGATTATTCGTTATATCGATGAGACCACATCGCATTTAGCCTCGTTCACACGCCGTAATTTAGGTACCAGATCGCTAAACCGTGAGAACTCTGAGATGACTTTATTGGTAAACTCACCGCGTTGTAGTCCTGTAGGACGATTTTTGTTGCATTAATTCGCGTCCCATTTGCTGTTTTGTTTTCTTCGAAGGACATGAGACGCCTTCCGAATAACTGTGGCGATGCTGCCGGATCATTCAATGAAGTTAGTTGGATTAGCTTCCTCTTATAATCGATCATAACATGGAAAACTTCACCCTTGCCATCATCAGTGGTTAATGTAGCTTCACCTTCCATAATTTCGGGTAAATCTGGATTGGAATCAAACGCACCCGCGGCATAAGCAGACAAAACAGCAACGGCTGCCAGGGAAATGCCGACCAGAACTGCCGCAATCCTAACAGCCCGTGTGGAAAGACACTTCTTCTGCTTGGATTCGACTATACAGAATGAAATTATAGAATGATGTATTTACTCAGATGAGATAGGCAACTATGGTGGGGGGTGGGGGTGGGGGATTAGTACCTCTTTATTTTTGGTGTACTTGAAGAAACCTGAACAAATGCTATTTAAGACCACCCTTTTTCGACCTATTACTCTTAAACAGGCTTTTTTCAATAAGGAACCTGAGCAAACAGAAGAAAGACATTCATCACCAATCGGAGACCACAATACTTGTACGTCAGTCACACCCCAATATGTGAGTTGCATAGAGCCGCAAGGAGCTTCTAATTATCTTATTCAGCTGGAATGCAGTGCCTTGATCTGAAGCAAACGTCATAGACCGAAAGCAGCAGGCTTTTTCATGTTGGAATCGAGTTTCAAAACCGAGTATCTAGTCATTGCTAACATTCGGATGCCTGGATGCATTTCCATCTGTTTACAATACTTGAGCAATAAGAAATAAAAAGGTAGGTTGGGCCATCACAGCTACAACAAGACAGAAAATAGGGGCATCACTGCTATACCTTTATGGTCTGCACTGTCACTTCTTGGTTCTCTCTGTGTTGTGGTTTCCATAACAACAGCAGCCAAATTAGACTTTGGTAAATGAAGAAAAAAAGAATGTCAAGTGAACTTGAGCAAAAGAACGGGGTAACGGAAAGATCAATTGGATAAGCTCAAAGGATAGAGGGAAGCTGATCATAGAAACAGATTCTCTGGGAGGCAGTCTTATTGGCCAATATTTGTACCTTGTACGACAGGGCCCAGTTAGTTACACCGTGACATCAAGCCTCGACATAAGTAACAAAATATATTGACACATTTTGTTTTGTTTTTCTTTTTTTGTTTTTTTTGTTTTTTTAGGGTGGGGGGATGGGGGAGTAGAGTTCGATCACAAAGGGCAACAATATCCACGAGAAAACTGTTATCTTGTGCATAAGACACAAAGAAAATCAGTGTATCAAAACACTGTTTGGAAACATCATGTGGGCGCAGGTATACGATGGAGTATTAGGCGTGATAAGAATAAATTAATTTTCTGACATCTATTCGATGTGGCTGTTAACTTTTTCCTACTCTAGAAAAGCTTAAGTCTATCAGAAACAAACTTTTTACAGTTTAAAAGAACATTAATTTTTTTATTTCATTATCTATAAGCTTGGAAGAAAATCCATGCTTATGTTTTACAAGAAGCCATTTCATTGCACTAAAGTTCACCTGAATAAAAAAAAAAAACTCAAATTTTCTTCAACCAAACTGAAATGGAAAGTATACATATCTAATGTTAGAAAATATTCCGATGAAAATCACAAAGAGGGGATCTGGAGGACTTGTGTTGTAGTTATAAACTTCAGTTTGATCATGTTTTATGGCATATGACGTCAGCAATAAGGCGGGACTGTAGATTGTCCAAACTGTTCTAAGCTGACCTCTGATGGCAGAGGATGAAAACTCACAAAAGCTGAAAGTATAGATCTCATGAAATGATACAGCAACTACAGGAAGTATATGAACGGTGAAATACCGCAAGTCTCGAAATTCTGCAGCCCCTTGTCCTTCTGAGAGACAAACCGTAAAAACTATCCAAGCAATAGCATTTATGGTAGGAAAACACACTTCACAAATTACTTTGGAAACGCTGTCGAAACACGCAACGTAGCTCAGCAAAAATGAAGAGTAGAACACAATTTGTAAAATAGAGAACCACGAACAAAGATATTTTGTGTCTGGTGTTTGTGTCTGAAAAACCAGTTGGCAAAGTACACAAAGCAACGTAGCAATGTAGAGACAGGTCCATATTGTAAACGCGAATTCCGCAGAGGCAGACTTTTTGCTTAGTCTTTTAAACTGCTTTGGTCGTGTTTTGACTGGTGTCTCGATCCATGCGCAAGTCAAAGCACAAAACATGTACAAAGTGTTAAGGTAGATCAGTTCAGACGCTGCCAACATGATCGCATTGCAACTGCTTCAGTACTAATCCATGACTGTAGCTTCACTGTGTTTCACCTCCTCTCCACTCGGTTCACGTTTACACAGAGAAATATTAACGTCGCCAGTAGCTTTCATAGGGTGGTAAAAAGTTGGCTTCGGTTTCTCTGAGTGCATGTAGGGCTGGAAAATTGAAACTAGGTTTACATTTGAAGAAATTGTTCCCGATTCGTGACCAATCCGGTCCGTTTTAGTTCGGGATTCGTTTTCCCGTTTACACTCAAGAAGACAAATCCGAAATAAAACATCTTCTCTTTGGTCGTGTCTCCGGTGATTTTGAATCCGAAATTTAGACTAGGTTTATTCTAGAGGAGATTTTTCCGGATTCCGTATGTTGCCAAATTCTTCAATTTTTGGGCTGTCGGATTCATAGAAAATGACACTAAAAGTGTATCTAGATTCCCAACCGTGTTCAAACGTGAATAAAGTGAGTGGTTACAAGGCTGTTTCTTGCCTTGATCGAAAACAAAAAACATTCTGCCAAAAAAAAAAGGCGCAAGTCGATCGAGATGCAAATTTAAGTTGGACCGTTGACGAAGTTGAAATCCTGCTCGGATTCGTTCGTGCATATTCCTCCCAAATGGATTACGAAGGTTTAGAATGAGAGAGTATCAAAAGAAAATACGAAGACATCAGAAAATAACTCGCCACTCTGTATGAATAGCAGGATGGATTGTTTCATGATTTTAGCCTGTTACTCGGAAAAGGATGGCAAACTCTAAAGATCGCAAGTGGAGAAATACCCAGATTCGTTCTTCACATCGTTTTACATGAATAAGCTTTTTGGATTCAAAAGTTTTCGGATTCGATGTTCCAACTTTAAATTTCGGATTCAAAATCTCCGGAGACACATAGGCAGAGGGAGGTTGTATTTTGGATTCGTTTTTCTTATGTGTAAACGGCAAAACAAATTCGGTAATGAAACTAATTGTTGAGAATATGCAACTCTTTGTTTCTATATGAGTTGTTACCATTACTGATGGATTAAAATTCATAAAGCTTTCAAAATAGCCTCCTCCGCAGAAGTTCTTTTGGCTCGTCACGCAATCTTCCTTGCGTGACGAGCCCAGAGAACGTCTGCGTAGGAGGCTACTTTAAAAATGGTCGCGCATGAATGTTGAAAAACTCTTATAATAAGATTCTTATCCAATTTTTTTTTCAAAGAGATTATCCATTCATCAATAGAGCAAAAAATCTTACCTCACCCACCGAAGAAACAAACTGTTTTAATCCATGATCTATGGTGGCAATGCTATAAGCACTCATTGGAGATGAATTCAAGATAGCTTGAAAGTTGAACTTCCCGTGGCAATGGGAAACCCTCAGCCCTATCACATATTATAGTTCACCACTAAATTTTCTCCGATTCTTATTGGTTTAAATTGATCACGTGACGCCTTAGTGTTCATCCGTGGAGAGACATTATCACCCCATAGTACCCGTCCGCGGAAAATTTGAATGGTTTCACGGCTGCGAAGTTGGGCAGATCGGCAAAACAGTGAATTTTCAATTCTGACAAGTATAACGTATTATTTAACCAATGTACGGTTGCGAATTATTGACAATTGTTACAGGCTGTAAACATGAATAAAATGTTTGATGGATCTGCATTAATTAACGGTTTTTATTGTTTTTCAACTGGTGCGCGGAAGAAAATTTAGTGGTGCACAAGAAAGACAATAGAGTGTTAATGTCTCGGAACTATCGGTCTGATAGTTGCCCCTTGGAAGTTTGATGTTGTTAAAACTAGCATATTTGTTTTAAGAACATCAACTTTCCGCGGGGCAACTATCAGTCGATAGTTCCCTGACAGAAACATTCTATTGTTTAAATAGTTTATTGTAAACGTATCAACAAAGTTGAAATGGTAAATTGGCCACCGTTATGGTTATAAAAGCTGACGTTTCGAGCGTTAGCCCTTCGTCGGAGCGAGTAGAGGAATTGTGGGTTGTGTGTGCTTTTAAAGGCAGAAAAAGAAGCTACGTGGAGCTCTGCCTTTAAAAGCACACACAATCCACAATTCCTCTATTTTTCCTCTATTTCAAAGGAGCTATGAGGAGCTCTGCCTTCAAAAGCACACACAACCCACAATTCCTCTATTCGCTCCGACGAAGGGGTAACGCTCGAAACGTCAGCTTTTATAATCGTAACGGTGGCCAATTTACCATTTCAACTTTGTTGATATATTTAAATTATTTCGTTACCCACACCGACGCAGCCCTCAAGAGTTTCTTTAGAAACTATCAGCCTTTATTCTATTGTAAACGTACTTCCCTAATAAATTAACGCGTCAGCACACCCAGGAGAAATCATGAATATTAACGTACGCAAAGAAATTGCTTTTCTATTTACCATCTATTAGATGAATCAGGAAGTAATCAACTGTAAAATGAAAAGTCTCGCAAACGCAATGATATTTCTCGAAAATTCTTTTAAACAAAGTTGCTAAGCCAGAATTTAACTAAAAAAAACTTCAAGTTAGTTGCAATAACGAATGACACATTTGAATCAAGGCGCTTGTGGCGTCAGTTTTACAAAAGAAAACAGGACTGCATTATTAAGAATAGCAGTGTCTTTTCCAATGCAGAAACCTTATAAATATAATATGTTTGCTAAGAGATAATGGATGTGATGAAAATGCGTGGTCTTAGCGAAACAGAATTTTCTGGCGTATTTGTTTGATATTTGTATGGCGTATTTGTTTGGATTTTTCTCTTCAAGTTCCGCGTTCGATTTTCGGAGGTTTTAGATTAGTCTTCACGCCTTCTTTGCAGGTATTTCATTCAGTCACATCAAGTATAAAAGCTGGCTTTCTGACTCTCAACTTTGAATTAGTATAAGAAGAAAATTGTGGTTTTGACCGATGAATCAAGTTAAATTTCAGATATTCATAGTGATTTGAATAATCAAGTCACTTGCAATTGCCAGCCGTGAAATTGATGACAAAGCACCTTTGTTTTGTACCTGAAAGCATAAAACCAACTCTCAGCCAACGAAAGGTCAAAATTGAACTATTATCACCCAAAGTGAAATTTTTCATTCTTCGTCCTTTCAAGGGCGCAAATTTTGTCTAAATAACTGTTACACTAAACAAGGTCTGCTACGAAGGCGACACGAAATAACTGACCATAACCGAGGTACTCGAGATTTTACGACGACTTCCTTAAATAGGTAGACTTGTTAGGCTTTATATAGTCTCTTTCTATCAGAAATTCAAATAGAAGTGTTATTATAAACGGAATTAAGATTCATATGATAACTGCTTTGTCCATGAATGTGGTTACCGCGCCAAGAACGATTTGAGAGCGCTAACAGAGATGAATGTTGGCCAAATACCGCTTTAAATATGCTGCTCACGGAAGCAACGGTTTCTCAAATCGTTTTCAAGAAGACTTTTTTCTCCACTAAAGACTAAAACAAAAAAAATGCAAAGGAAAAGGGTTAAAAAGCAACTTAGCTTTTTGTAATTTGCCTCAAAACAATCTAACTTTTCCAATCCAGATAAATCGTGCACTTAAATCTAAAAGGTGATTGGAATATTTACAGGTGACATTTCCAAGCCTTAAAAAACTTACTCGTTAAAATAACCTTGGGAATTAACCGTCAAGTACACAAGTGAGTTGATTCTTAGGAAATGTCGATGCTCTGCTGAAAACATTTGCAAATGACACAAGGCTCACTAACAGCTCAAGAAATTTATTTAAAACTAGTTCTAAATATCGAGTATATATGTATCCTTCGGTAAATTAAAACGAGCAGTTATGGACACATGAACGACCCCCATATCACCACTAAGAATTTTGATGGTTGATAATACAACAAATTCGAGCTTATGTGGAAAGATTTAAATACAAAAACTTACAAGATATTTTTATGCAATTTAGCGCCCTTAAAAAAATACGCCAAACGGTAAAACTCACCAAATTAAATTATGCCAGCGTTGAACTTTTACTCCAACAACTTAGGATAAGAACGTACCGAAGAGAGGGTTTAAGTGCCCGCTGGAGCCAAGGTGGTTTTCTTATTTTATAAAAATTCATTGATTAACAAGGGAAACCCCCCTAATTAATAAAAATAATTAAAAAAGAATAGGACCCTCTGTTTTACGTCAATGAAACGAAAGTGCTGAATCGACAGAAGAATGTTAACAAAAGCAGAGTTAATGAAGCCTGGAATTATCAGAAAGAAGATTTTTCTAGTAACATCGATCAAGTCTTATTTAAGGAAGAAATTACCATAATGACCTTCTACCTATGTTTCAGCAGTAATTTTACGAGGCAATTTTACCACAGAGCACGTGCATCAGTCAAACGCAAGGCCAGTTGTGCTTTTTTTCTTTTGGACATTTTGTCTAATCTGATTCCTCATACTAGAGTGAATTCGTAGAACTCGTTCGTCATACACTTTCGAGCTTATCACTAAAGCCTAATAGGGGAAATAATCTGATCAAGCACAATTGTGAACATTTATTCAAATACCTTTTCACAGTTTAATTTTCCACGGGAAATTTCCAATCCATCTTTGCTGCAAAGGGTAATAATTTTCATGCGGTGGTATTGGGTGTTTTTTGGCTCATGCGTTTTTGGCTAACTGCAGTTAACCACTTGTTTTGAACATCCTAGTACATTGCCCCATTTGGGCACGCACCAGTGATTCACGTGGGAATGTACTGGGCTGTTCAAAACAAGTGTATGCATTCAATTTCCAAGCGGATACCTTAAGGTTACACAGCCCATATGTAATTAATCATGTCATAAAAGCAATAGAACGGATTCTCAGTTATCCGGGTTCTACAAAGTGATGAATTAAAGGCACTTGGAGTGTTGGGGGAACACTCGGAAAATTTGTGTATCACTTGCCTTCGGATTGGAATTTCTAAGCTTTCCTCGTCTTCTTCCAACATCCTCCATGGCTTAATTACGTTATTGAGCCCGGAAAAACGTGTACCATTGCTAAATCGAGTTGCAGTGACTATGTTCAAAATATCGATATTCAGATTGCAAAACATATATTTAATGAACTAAATTTACGAATGTCCATAATATCAAGATGTACTTCTTTATCTTACCCTTTGCATACCTTTGTTACATATTTACACACGGTCTGATTTACTTATGATACTTTTTCGATAAAAATATAAATTTGGATGCAACTATGTCATTTAACAGTTCGTAAATTGACTCGTACTGCGGCTACAAACATGGCGGCCCAGTAAATTCCCAACATTGATTCTTACTTAGATTTTCTGGTGAGGAGAGTGAAAGAGAGACATAAATTAATAATTGATAAATAAGTCATCAAAACATGCGCAAAGCTATCTTTATTCAAAGAATGATTAAAAGACAAAAGGAATTTACCGTGAATAGAATTCGAAAACAGCTAAGCAGCTATACTAACTTTGAATGTGTTTGGCTTATTGAACTGTCCGATAACAACTTGACTGGAAAATAGGAGTTTTTTAAACCAATCAAAATCAAGCAAATTGTAATTTTTATGATTATTAATTTTATGCGCGGCAGTAAAGCTATGAAGAATATGACTGAGTTGAAATAAAGCGAGGTCTGATTTCCACAGCAACGAGAAGTTTTTGTACGGAGATAACTCAGGGAGAGTGCTGATCAAGTCTTAGACAAGTCGTGGTGACATAGGAAAATTCCGCATTTTATTTCCTTTGGTGGATTTTTCAAAAATTTCAATGAAAAGTGCATCATCTTTGTACAGATTATCATAGGTCTCTTCCCTTTTTCGCTGTGTTTTTCTCTCTTCTTTCAAATCTTCTGTTTGACACAATGATGCTTTCCCTTGATTTTAGGATTCACAAAGTGGTGTCAGATATGTCTGAAAAGAAAAAAACGCCTTCCGGGTGAGCTTTATATGGCGGTAATGGTAATGAATGATGTAAAAATCCTTGTAAAAGCTTAACTTGTTATGGCACTGTGGTGTAAGACCCATGGCATGCATAGCTGGTGTACTTACTGACGAATGAATGCTTTTAATCCGCCCTAGTGGATTGTTGAGATCAAACAAAGTCTTGAGCGGGTAAAAAGATGTACTAAGGAGAGGCTAGTAAGAATGAATAACCAATGTAGGGGATGGGAGTGGGCATTCTTCCCGACACTATTTCCCCTTACAGGCTTGCTCGTTCCAAGCTTACTTCAAACACCTGTCAAACAGACGAAGAAAATCATCCTCCGCCCTCCCCCCATATTGAAAATCCTACTTAGAATCGTAAAAATATCGAGATTTGGAACAAAAAAAAGGTGTGATCTCAAAAATTATGTGAGAGAACCGCTGCCTACATCACCTCTTTATACGACTCCCTGACGAAAAGACAAAAACTGAATCCATCTCTGTTGACGATGCTTTCATCATTTTCTATCAGCTGACATTCCATTTTACCCTCGTGGTCTGTGGAAGTTGCCAGATTAAACGCACTGCATTGAGGTTCGCGTATGCAGAAGTCACCGCATTGTGTACGAGATACGACCTTATGACGCCCTATAATGTGACCGTCTATGGCTTTGTTAGTTGAGTTGCCATTTTGCTTGAAGGCGAAGTCTTTAGCGGAACAGACACGAGGTGGCTTCCACAAATTGTGCGCTTTAATTAAAAGGAATGAATGCATAATCACGTCCATCAAAGACAGAAGCAACGAAAAACATTACACAGGAAAAAAACTAAAATAAAAAATGAAGAAATTCGATTTATTTCTCATCCTGAATCCCTCGTTTAATCGCAGGTCAGAGTCTAAAATCATACATCACAAAACATGGGCCTTCGGGCCTTCGTATCTAATAGGACGTTCCCCAAACTTGGACGCCAATAAAAGACATGGAATATCAGACCGTGCTCCTTGAAATCAGACATCATCCGAAACTCCTAACGCGCTGACCAATATCGTCTTCCGTCCAAATCAGGCGGACACCGTAATAAATAGAGTACCTCCTGAAATTAGGCTATTTTTGAAATCGAATATAGTCTTAGATCGAAGGCTATCAAAATCACACGTAATCAAAACTCGCGAACCGTCCGAAATTGGGGAAACTCCAAAGTTGGATCCCGCCTTAACTAAAAAGGAAGCAGCGCAAAATCTGCAACCTAAAACCTGTCCTCGTTAAATCTCCACGATTACCGGGCGATCACTTAAGCTTATAAATGAATAATATTATAGAATTATCTGACCTTGAATAACTGACATATTGAAGCATCCGTTATTCATCTTGGGGTTTGTACAACATTCTTTTTCATTTGTGCATGATGAACCTGAATGTGTGTACCCTCTACAAAAAACACTGTCGTTGTCAAAACCTTCGCCAAATGAACACTCTGCAGCACAAGAAATGAATGTATGATTGACTACAGATTTCTTTAGGGTTCTTTAATCCTGTGTTTTTTAATTGCAGTCGCATCTTTAACTTGTTTATGCGCAGATCAATTCGAAGATTTAACATCCCCTTCCCCCCCTTCTCGGGCAAACTGCGTGCATTTGACCGTCGCCAGTGGAGAATTTGAACCTTGACTGGCTGGGGCACTTTGAGTGGAATAAAAGCTGTTATACCTTTAAATATGGAGGTGTTTAAAGGTAACTAGTTCACTTTCGCAAACGAATGGCTCAGAAAAAAAAGTCTGCAAGGTCTAAGTAGGAAGTTACAGTCAGGCTGATTTTGCCTTTTCACCAAAAAATATCGATCTGAACACAATGTTTTAACTCAAATTTCTTCATATGAAAAGTTTAATTGCCAGGAGATTTTCCGGAGGAGGGGATGTTGAAGAAGTTGAAGCTTTAAATGGACCGACGCATTTTCCCTTCATTAGCCTTGCTAACACACGGGAATACACCAAATATATTAGGTTCGGTTTCGGCCATTTTCTGGGGTCAAATCTTTGATTCGGCCTTGTGTATTGAGCAGGAAACCTCTGATCGGTGGAAATAAAAAACAACATGATAAACGCGTTCAGCTGCGTCAACTGGGAGCGGAACGCGGACTCATTTCCCAATAAAGCGTAATTTCGTACCTACACTTCTCTTCGTCTACAAGAGAGACCTGCTTACGAAATTAATACTAGCCTTAATCAAGTTTATCAAACTGGGAATCTCTTAAACATGTGAGAGCCTTTTGAACATGACAATCAAAAAGTGCAATACATCCCCAGAAAGTCTCGGCGGGCAGCGATTCCAGACTGCGTGCTTAAATGTGGAAATGGGCTTTGTGTTGGGAAAGTCTCAAGTTTTCCATCATAGCTTCCTTTTTCCGAATTCTGTTGACGTTTCAATTTGTTATACGTATTTTGCGTGACAGTAGTTGTTCCTTGTGTTTTTCGTTAGTTTAGGCGTCAATTGGCGCGCTGCAGGTTAAAATTGACCCCTTTGCACATGCTCCTCGATTGACCGCTGTGTTCTGATGAGGCTGAGAGAATTTCCTGTAAGGGGAAATATGAAAGCACTAACCTGTTACTTGACCTCTTGTCGAATGAGCCATCAGATGAATAAGGAAGAGAAATGCCAGCATCTTCTTGTTCATATTCCTGCATTGTTGTAAAAGAACGTTAAGAAAGTGTACCATTTCACAAACTAACATCTACTTTGATGGTCCATCATGACCATGTAATAATTATTATTTTCATGTAATAATTATTACATACCACGCATCGTCTCTAAACTTGGTTTTTCATCACAAATAACACGCCGAAATTTTTGGAAACCAACGAAAAATCGTGACCGAAGAAATTCATTTACAATACTAGATAAATTTCTTTATAATCGTAGAAATGGTGGAAACTGGACAAATATACTTATAGGAAATATTATAAAAGGTTGGCATCTTGTTCAGAATTTTTGAACTCATTTATATAAAATGAAATTTGATCTCGCTAACCTTGACTACAGAGGCTCTCGGTGTTTGTACGAAATTATTACAATCAGCAATCTTGAGTAACTGGACGTACATGCACAACAATATGCGCCCACAAGTTCTGAGTCAGAACTTGTACGTGCCCGGTCAGTTCATAAAATGAAATAGGGTTTTAAAAAAAGGATGTACTTACGGATGTTGGATAGAGAAGCCCTTTCAACATTTGTTTACATACAACAGTGTCTTGTCACAGAAATGACAGTTTCTGTTTGTTGCATTTTGATGTGTGTTGTTCTAATTCTTGTTCGTAATCATTCACCTGTCTTCGGGGAGGTTCATTGATTAAAAAATTTTAGGCCAATATGCAAGAAAGGCCAGTCTGTCTTAGTCAGCTAGCTTGACTAAGGAATCGGATTCCTTGTATGCAAAGCCGTGCAACATTATGGAGCTATGATGCTCTTGTTACGACGCAAAACGTGCGTAGATCGAGCTTTTATCAGATTGAGTACAAAGTTGTCAATGACCATATCAAAAGAAATACAAATCACCTGTAATGTAGGGTAGAAATGACATTTTCGCGTCAGCAAGATTTTTGATGACTTTCATTTGTATGTACATGTTGTAACTTCGAGATTTTGCCGTGGATGTACTAACTTAGTACATCCATGATGGAAATATTCCTTGTTACAATCTTATATCTATGTAAATGACAGCCAGAGTCAGGCGAAACATCTTGTCACTAAGTTTTGTGTTGAAAAATATTAAATAAATATGAAGACAAGTTGGAAACTTTCCACAACCAGTTACGTGTAATTAAAAGAGAACGTCATCCACCTTTATTAGTACCGTATTTACATTTTTTCTCTAACGCTTCCTTCGATGGAACGATAAAGTCAATCAACATTCGTGATTAAATTTGTTTGAAATTGTCCAAGTCAATTGAATTTGAATAAAGGGGGTAAGAAAGTGGGTAAGAAATTGTGGTGCCTCGTTGGTCAAGCGTATCTGGCAAGATAATTTGGTTTTATCAACTGGGTTCATGTTGCAAAATGGCAAGAGTTTCTGGAGCTGACGTTTCGAGCATGATCAGGCCTTTTTCAGAGCGAGTTATTCCCAGTCACTTATGTTTCTCACTGATGTCCACTGGAGCCGAGACCGAAAAACGGAAAGGTATTCAGTTTGGACTGGCGAAATCGTATGATGAACCGAAAACCCGAAAGTTGGTCGCCACTCGGCTAGCACTCGGACGACGAAGTCGTTCACGAAGTACGAACGACAACCAGCGGTGTTTGGAATCTTCCCCACGCTTCTCGCTTGTAATACGCTACAGAACACAGTTTATTCCACGAGGTAAACTTCTAAATCTTTGCGAGCTTACAAATGGGATTTTGATTTTTTACGAGTTCACAAAAATTGCATTTTGGCGGTTTAAGGCGATGATTTTAAAGACACATTTTGACGGGAAAAAAATTATGAATCTCGGGTGACATCACCAAATTAAGATGTTATTACGGTACACGATCCTAAAGTTTTCCTGTTTTCCTTTCCAGAAGGCGCACGACATCACAGCATGCGGGTCACGTCATTCCCTTTTCTTATTTCAACATCTAACATTTTCACAATAACGCTGTTTAATAAGCTTTTATTTTCCTACACATGTTGATTTGTTTGAGGGAAATTCCGCCGTCACTAACAATCATACTTTTTGCATAATCGTCCAAAAGAAAAGATCAAGCTTGGGAATAAAATAGTTTTCCCGACAATTTTCACTTTAATTAATTTGGTAGAAAACCCAGAGCCTTTATAAGTTTTACAAATTGACACAGTTTGTTTGCAGATGAAAGATTTCAAAGGTCATGAATAACATTTGTTAATTTTTCGCACTGCTCATATATATTGTGATATGAGCTCCTGCAGCGTCTAGCAGAAACATCAAAACACCAAAGGTCTTCAGCTAAAGAATAAACGTAAATCAAACAGTTTCTTACGGCGAAACAAAACCAATGGTCTACAATATTAACTTCGCTAAAATATTATAGTCTCAGAAATCACAGTGCTGAGTGGATAATCACAGATCAAATCTTTGATTTGCTTGTACCGGTGGTGAATCAAGATGCCTTAGTAAGATGTAATGATGAACGAGTAACGTTTGATTAAGAAACCCTCCAAACAAATCGGTGATAAAAGCCATTGATGTACGTAAACTGCACGGCAAGACAACCCATTCTGCAAGCCTGATTCCAATGGCTTGTGATCAAAGACTCCGTGATGCTTTTGAGACGCTCTGGTTCGAGAGCGGGCGTAAGAAGTTTCTTGGACCAAGCATTGACAAAATCGTACGCTTCTTCTTCACTTAGCGACGTAGACACTTCCACTAGTCTGTCAGGACCCGGAATGTTGTCGTACCATCGAGATAACATCCATTCGCCGTAATGTTTCTCCATTGCATAGCGAGACATGGCGAAGATCGAACGAACCTTCACAAAACTGACACGCGCTTCACTTGACAACACAGCTGATTGAAGAGTGCGTTGCTTTAAGTACGTGGGAAATATTTTAATTTCACCCCTTAGAGCACTCGCCGGAAGGTCTCCGCCTTCTTATCGACTCCTTCACTTAAGAAGCTAGCATTGGCAGTATTGATCGTCCGAATCGATATCGATTGGTTGGGTCAAACACATCGTCAGACTTCAGTTTGCGCACGAAAATCACCGATTTCGAACAAAAGATAGCGTTTGTTTGCTCGTAATGTTGGTGCATAAATTATTATGCAGAAGCGTAGATGCATATCGCAGTTTTGACGACTAAAAAATTTGGTTTGGATAAAATAAATGCAAGACTGTTTATTCCAAAAGCCAAAATCAAAGGAAAAATAGAAAGGAAGAGTCTAGGTCTAGCGATTTGACAGAAAATTATAATTACCGAACGGATGGTTTATAATAAATAGATGAAGTATCTGATTAGGCCAGAACGCAGATACATATTCTATTCCCCTGATTCAGAACAATAAGATGAACGAAGACGGTCTTGGGTTGCTAATGATAATGTGGGGCTCGCTACCTAAGTCAGTGCCTGGTGAATTAAAGACACCAAATAAGAATTCATTTGATTCTAAAGAATCTTGTCTTAGACTATTTTGTACTAATCCCAAGATCTCCTATGGATGTATCATAGTAGAGTCGACCAAATTACCAATATAATCAGAGTGGGTAGCGTGTAATTTCTCCTTGCAACAACACCGCTGAATCACTAGAATCGCATAAATTAACTTACAAATATTCATTACCAGGCTCCGGTAAGATAATGGCCGAAACTAGCGCAGTTTTGAAGGGAAAAAAGTATATTAAATTTCTTTACAGAACAAATCTAAATATTTCAGGCGTGAACCAAAGACTATAAACTAAGAAAATTCATCGAAAAAAAAAACTTGTCATATGCACTTTAAAGGAAAAAATCGATTGAGCACAGCTTTTCTTATCTTCCGNTCTATAGAACCATCAAACACTAATTTACCGATGGCATTTATTACTTCATGACAGCAACGAAACTCCATTGCGTCCTCCAAAGCTTCGCCATGACAGTGTTGACATTTGCACCTATAAACATCGAGAATCGCTTAGAGATCATTGTAATATACTCCATAAAAACTATGACATAAGGTTCTTACCATTCGTTAACGTTAATCTGGCCTTCAAATCGAGCCTCTAAAGTAGATGGTCGAAGGCCATCGACGTCTGTTTCTTCGTCTCCGTCTTCTAGATCTTGATCGCTATCGCTGGCTAGCGGTTCGTCTTGATATGGCTCCTCTACCATATTTTCTTCTTCGGAATTGCCTAATTCTGCACGAGATGATGAGCTTGAAGATTCTGAGTGGTCGGATTCATTACAGGATTCGTCTGAATCACTAAAACTCTGGAGGTTTTCTCTGGACATGTTCGATTCGTTTTAGTATTCTTAGGATAGGTACACCATATGACATCACGCATAAATTAACTTACAAATATTCATTACCAGGCTCCGGTAAGATAATGGCCGAAACTAGCGCAGTTTTGAAGGGAAAAAAGTATATTAAATTTCTTTACAGAACAAATCTAAATATTTCAGGCGTGAACCAAAGACTATAAACTAAGAAAATTCATGGAAAAAAAAAACTTGTCATATGCACTTTAAGGTCACGAAAACAAAGGAAATGACCACTAAATAAAGAGGCGTATGATTGTTAAAAAAAATTCTCCTGTATGGAGAACATGCATGCTGATGTTATGGGGCAAGGGGTTAAGAAAAAAAAAAAAAGAAGAACATCGTATTTCCTCGAATAAGCGCCCGGGCGCTTAGTCATAAATTCGGCTAAAGGGAGGGGCGTTTGTTGGAAGGAGGGTGCTTAATCGAGGTGGAGGGCTTATTGAATTAGCACAGCGATAAGGCAAATATAAACGCACAGAAAGGAACTCTGCAACACATGGACAAGATGAACTGGAACGCAAAATAAATTTTCTTTCTCTACCGTTTCCTCTCTAGCTGAAGTTTAAAAGGTTGTAAATTACGTGGAAATAGAAACAGATTTTCTATGTATCCTTAAGATTTCTCCAAACCACAATATGAAAATTTGAAGAAGTCTGTCGGTCGGCCATTTAAATTCACAATCGCAACCCTGTGCATGCGTAATTGCATTATACCAATTGCTCTTAGCTTGAATGGACTTAAATAGTAATAGTAATTAAAAGTTTAATGTCTTTACGTGGGGCATGGTAATAACACTAGACCATTTATTTTTTTTAAACGGTTTTAACCAATAGAATTATGTCCATTAGGTTTTCAATTTTCGAACTTTCATGTTCAGGATAGTCCTCCTTTTAATGTGCCCTAGAGAAGTTAGAGAACAGACACCTTTCTATTGCATGACTTATATAGGGGCGTTGGAAGAAATTCTGCATTAATTATCTATTAATGCACGATTCTGAAAACGACAATCCAAGGCTTGCAGCTTCTCTCTGTGCCGGGTAAAATGAACGTGGGAAAAGGAACAACGATAAGAACACAAAATTACTTTGAAGCTGAATGGAATTACGACACTGCTCGCATTAACTTGTCATGCAACGTGTCACGCACTGAAAGAATCGTTTTCAG